GGCAGATGACCTAAAAACTCTAATAAGTTCCGCAATTACTAACCAAGAGACTTGCCTTGACGGTTTTTCTCATGAGGACGCCGATAAAAAGGTTCGCAAAGCTTTGCTGAAAGGTCAAAAGGACGTAGAAAAATGTGCAGTAATCCATTGAAGATGATTACATGGAGTCAGGACGCCACATCCAGTTTAGGTTTCTCCAACTTTAATTGATTACAGAATATTAAGGCGGAAGAAAAATAAGGAAAGAGAAGAGGAGAAAAAAAAGGAAAAGGGTGTAACTAAATCCCTTGATTGAAGACACTAATAATAGATTTGAAGTTTTTTAAGGTGGAATGTATATATTTCGTAGATAAAACTTATTTAGGTCGAGTAATTAACGAAAAGTGAATATCTTTTATAATAAAGTTTTAAATAGTGTATAAAAACGAAAAAAATTCCTTTTTTGTTAAGTTCCAATAAAGTTCGTCTCAATTCTATCTTGTAAAAGAGGGCCCAAAACACGAAAAAGGGACTCTGTTAATGGTTCAGGCTCTTTTGTCGTCAAAAGTCCATTAAATTTTATTATGGCCCAAAGCATGAGAAATTAAAGAAGAATTAAACTCTGAAATGAGAAATCTACATTTGCGGTTGGGTTATTTTTGGACTTTCTTATTAGATACATGTGGTCTGTGGAAATGATCATTTCTACTTAGTTAGAAACAAAACGTAAGCAGAGTGTTATTTTTGCATATTTTGTTGGATTTTCCTGAAACAATAGAATAGAGAAGAGATATATCATTAGTGAAAAAGTTGTTCTTACGTAGCTTAATGGGAAAACTGCTATGATTGCCTTCTTTTTTCTTATCTTTTTTGTTTCTCCCTTCTCTTAGAAACATTAAAGGCCAAAACAGAAGTAATTTAATTTGCAAATAGGACAGCATAATGATCAATTACTCTATCGCTTAGTGCCTAAAGTTCCAAAACTAAGGTAAAGAAAGTTATCAGAAAGTTTTATTGGATTATATCATTTGCGAACAGTGGAGCAACGTTTACGGAGTCTGATCTTCATTGTCACAATCATTGTTAACTTGCCGGGATTTCAATTCAAAATTAGAACTTGTGTTACCATAACAGAACCACGAGGTGATCAGTACTATAAATTCATTGCTCCCTTAAGTAATATTTCATCCCCAACAAAGATATTAGAATCAAAAGAAATATATCAGGTAGTGAAAAATGGCCAGATTGACATTCAATTGGAATCTTGCTTTTGCAGCTCTACTAGTGTTGGTAAGTTTTGCTTCTCAAGCCACATCTCGCGACTTGTATGAAGCTGCCTCGATGGTCCAGAAACACGAGCAGTGGATGAGTCACTTTGGGCGGGTGTACAAAGATGATGTAGAGAAGGCTAAAAGATTCAAAATATTTCAGCACAATGTTGAGTACATTGAATTTGTTAACAAAGCTGGGACTCGACCTTACAAGTTAGGCATTAATGAATTTGCTGATTTGAGCAATGAAGAATTCAGAGACACTCGCAATGGATACAAAATGACTTCTCATCAACAGTTGTCAAAAACCACATCATTCAAGTATGCAAATGTGACTGCTCCAGCTACTATGGATTGGAGAACGAAAGGGGCTGTTACTGGAATTAAGGACCAAGGACAATGCGGTAAGCTAAAACAAAAGTTCATAACATCCTTTAAATGAATGTGCATTAATAATATCTTATAACATAATAATGTACGTAG